GGCACTGTTGCTGCACGCCATCAGTACCCATTTTGTTTCGTCCAAGTACACTGCGCGGCGTACCCCACCGTATTTTCAATCCTTGAGCTTTTTCTCCTTTTCGTTATTACTGCTTAATAAACCAACCTTATCACTAATGATATCGTGTTCAAAATGGCAGAAATCGAGTGTGAGTGAATTGCATGAAGTCCGTGACAGTAACGATAACAACTGCTCTTCAGTGAACTTCAGACGACACAACGTGAACGACAGGCTATGGATGCATCTGGAAGTAGCAGACAATATGAGTACTGTAAGTTATTTTCATAGTTTCCCTCAGATTGGAGATACTCCACGATAATCGATGGAACAGAAATGGGCGCAGGCTCATAATCTTTTTGACTTGTACACTGATGTGCCACTCCTTCTCATGCGGCTGAAAAGGGGGTTGCCTAAATGTAAAGAGGGTGAACTGTTTGTAAGTCCCCACCCATCTAATTATCGCGGAATCTGTCTTCAATTTCTCGCCTTCATCTTTTGCTTCATCATCTTGTTTTACGGCACTGGGAAGCAATAAATGGTCTAACTTTGACACCCAGCCATATTGTATTAAATAAAATTATAGAAACTGTATTAGCGGTACTTTTCATAAAAGTATGGATTTACTGTCATATACTCATTCTAACTGTTCTAGCAGCCGTTCCTAGGCGCTCTCACACTTGGGGTATAATCCGTAGCCTACAGGGGGGGGGGCAAAAAGGCACTTCGGTCGAGTCACATATCAGCAAAGTTTTCGCAGCCCAGAAGACGTGGATACGAGTACCAGGGCGGAAGATACCCAAGATGTTCCTCGATAAGCAGGAGCAGGCTCTCGCCCATCACCTTCATGTACACCAAAATATGAAGCTATCTCCAACCGCAGCCTGTCTGGAGAGGGCCTATGGAACTAAGGTCACCTCCACACAGCTGTGAAACATCTTGTATGGAGTTACCCATGGACAGCTACAAGACCGGCACTCTTGATCTGGAAGACCTCCAACATCGAGCAGCTCCGACAACGTCGCTACGGTCCAGGATATCATCTTCACCACAGTCGCCAAGGCGCGGGTTGATGGTATGGACCGGAGTACCTGGAATGGGAAGACCGATATTTTTTATTGGACCCCGGACTGAAGTGAACGCTGACGGTTACATCGACCAACTCGAGGAGAATATCCTGCCTTCATGTCGTCGCCTGTACCATCTTGGAAACTTCGTACTGCTACAGGATTGGGTGTCAGCACGTGGAATAGGCGTTGCAAAAACCTCGCTTACTCGGAATCAAAGGGCGTTGAGTACGGAGGAGACGCAATGTGTCACCTGAAATGACCCCCCCCCCTTTTGCCGGGTTTAGGCGGAGCTCAAGGGTGGTCTACAGTGGCGGAGAAATCAACGACCTCGCTGAACTCAGGTACCGAATCACGGCCGCGTGGCAGAATCTCTCGATGGCGCTCGTCTAGAAGCCTGAGGAGGAGAGGCGGAGTATCATGACAGTGTACAATGTGCTGTTGAATATGGTGGTGGAAATGTCCAATCAGAATCAATAGAGTGTAACTTATAGCTCCTTGAAAGTCGAGGGAAAAAGTGTCTTTCACCCATGTGTGCAAAACAAGGTATTAGAACCAAGGTTGAACATGGTTGAACGCACTCCTTGTTCAATGTTTCAGAAAATGTATAGGCAAATGCACGACCCAATTGTTCCGCTCCTCCCACCCACAGACCAGAAAACTGCGAAAGCGCCTATGAGTTGTTTCCGAATAGATTGTGTTTGTATACTTCCAGGTTTTGGTACTTATGAGGCCAGATGAAAGGAATTCCGGGCCTATGGTATGGGTGAACCACTTGAATCTTCGCGCTTTTTTGTCCATCCCTGGATTCCTACCCTCCTCGTTAGCTTCGAAACTCCGCCCACAAAAAACGCGAGATGTATCTGTAAGCCGCTAGATTCTTTACTTACAGGGGATTCTGAAACCACTGTGGTGACGTTTTCCGGTCACTTTCCACGGGTTGATAATTCTAAGAAGTTCGAAAGCTATCATACTGATAAGTAAAATTGACAGTTGGATAAGCTTAACAAAGCCCTGTCACGACGGATCAATCACGTGTCATCACTTTGTATGAATCATTGATAATCTGACAGCATTTCTCAGAATCTGTTCGTTGCACCGTAGAATTTGAATTCGTCCTGGTCAAGTTGCTTCTGAGTAGTTTCTTTGATGAATACGGTTTTGTGGGCGAGTTTGAGTGCCTGCGCGTCAAGTTCGGTCTTTTGCAGTAATAAAGAACTGACAGGAAGCAACTCAGATCTCTACTTGAACGC